GTGTGTGTGATTGTGAGTGAGGGTGACTGATGGATTGAAAGTTTGAAAGTGAGTGATTGCGAGTGAGTATATGGGAGTGACCGTGACTGTGAGTGTGACTGGTTGTGAGCAGAAATGTGTAAGAGTGAATCTGAGTGAGTGACTGAGTGTGAGTGAGTACAAGCGAGTGAGTGTATGTTGTGAGTGTGGGTTTATGTGAGGGTTGGTGACTGCGTGGGAACATGTGTATGAGTGAATGTGTATCTGGCAGGTAAGAATGGCATTCAGATGCCCCAGATGGTTGGTTTGGGTGCGTCAAATGCTAGCCCTTAGGTCAAGGCTGCGGTAGATTTAGTCGAGCACAAATTATCGCGATTGCCTGGCGGCTGAGGTGGAAAGATTTGCCCTCATTGCTGGAATCTGGTCTGGGGCTGGTAAGGGACTATGATGCATGAGTAATTATGCCCTTCCTAGTCTACAGTTGCTTCGCTAGGATTAGAATGTGAATGATTTGTGCCGACCTTGCACTTTGTGGTACATCTTGATAGCTCTGTAATTGTTTTATACCATGCCATAATGCTGAGAGCTATACAAAACAATATGATAACAATGCTCCCAATTGCGCATCTGATTTATCAAATTCTCCTTTTTAGATATGATGTGACAAGAATACTAGTTGCATTGTGCTTGTGTTGGCTTCGTAAGCGACTTGTCGCGGATAGAATTTTACATACCTTCATCTTCTGTATACTCCATTCTCCATCGTCCGTCCGAACCTCGTCTGATATCTCCCCGAGCCGCCAGTTTCCCTCCGAAATTTTCAAACTTGCACTCTGACTGACACGGCAACTGCTTCGGCCAGCCAATCCCTACTTCGCACTGTTTTTTTTTTTTTTTTTTTTTTTTTTTTTGGAAATGTAACTATATTATCAAACATAGATACATCCACAGTCGTAACTGTATACCTGGAGGGCCTATGCTACACCACAATGAGATGTCGCATATCCCCCCTTGGAGGTCTATGGTGGCTGGTGGCATGTGCGCGGGTTGCGCCAGATGGACAGAAATTGACCCGACCAGCATGCAGGACCATCCACGTTGCAGATTCCCTGCAGTTGTTCCCTCTCATCCTTTGCCACATGTCGCCATCTATCTGTTCTCATACCGCAAGCCACCTCACCCGTGGCCTTGCCTCTCCCGCGTGCTGCCAGCACCACCCTCGCATGTGTCATAAAATCCAGCACCGCACCGCGACCCACTTTCTTCCGCTCGAAAACTTCAGCCCTCCAAACTGTATTGCATCTTGCCAGCCAAATCTGTCGCAGCACCGCCGCCGTCAACGTCATCTCCGGGAAACCTGACGCTGTCCCCCCTTCCCCAAACAGCAAATCACCCAGCGAGTCCACCTGTCTGACCGGATTCAGCATGCGCAAGGAGCGCTTAAGCGCGCCAATCACTGGCTGAATGACCGGGCAACTGTAGAGACAGTGGGCTAGGGTTTCCTCCTCCCCACAGTGCGCGCAGCTGATCCTGTTCTGGAAAAAATCCAACCTCCCCCCCACCTGGACGTTCTTGCTGTGTATCCGGAGCAACACATCCCTCGCCTTGAGTGGGACGCTGATAGAATCACGTGTATCGATCGCCCTTTTCCAGTCAATCTTCTTGCCCCACGCCACTTCCCACTCCGCCTGCCTCCATGAACGCCCCACCGCTTTGGTGAGCGTCGCCCGTATCTTACACAGAGGCGCCAGTCCTCCCTCATCGAACAGCCCACAGCAGGTCAGCAGCTTCACTTTCGGGTCACCCGCCGGTCCCAGCAGCCTTCCCTCTTGGACGATTAACGGCTGCAGATTACACGCTTCGAAACAGGTCTCCCTGTTCCTTGCCGGGGCGAGAAGCGTTCCACCATCGCCGACCTCCATGTATGAGGCAAGGATTCCCCCCTTGTCTAAACCCTTCACTGCCCACGGAGGCCCTGTAAGCTCGCCCCGAAGGATGAACTTCACCACCCCTGACGCCGCCACCACTGCCTCTGGTGTCACTGGCTCCTCGACCAGCTTCTTCCACTCCGGTGGCGTGGCCACATACGCTTTGCGTGCCATGACCGCTGCCTCCTTGGATCCCAGCTCCACCGTTAGTACCGCTTCATCCTTCAGCACCCTGCTACCCCTCAAGCCGTCGGTAAGCAAGTCACGTAACCGCGTGCAGAGGAGACTCTCCGTGCCCAACTGATGACCAAAGGGGCTATTTCCTCTGTGCATGATGTGCCGGTTGAAACAGATGAACTGTCCCTCCACCTCCCATCTATTCGCAGGTTTCGGCAGGGACGCAAGGGGCGACTTCCAGAAGACTTTGACCGCCGCCTTCCATCTCTCACTCCCATGCTCCCACCGTTTAATCGCAGACGGATGTGCGTGAAGCGTCGCCCACCCTTGTGGGAAACTCGCCGCCTTCTCCGCCAACCACCGTCGCGCTCCATTTTGTTCACCCAGAAGCTTGCCTATTCTGCGGATAGCCAGCCCGTCGAGGCAGAGCTTCGGGTCCAGTTGGCCCAATCCCCCATCTTTCCGCGGGAGGCAAGCCAGATATGCACTCCAGAGAATGAAAACCTTTTCCTCCACTGCCTCCCCCGCCGAGACGAAGGCATGACAGAGCTTTCTTATCTTCTCCCACAGCTCGTCTGGCGGCGAGTACACCTGCGCCTGAAACATTAGCACCGGAAGGACATAGCAGCTGATGACCGCTACCCTCGCCGTCGTCGTGAGGTACTGCGACTCCCACTTTTTAAGCTCCTCCTTTATCCTCTCATAAGCCCTCTCCCAGGACGGGCCAGCGTCACCACTTGGCGTTATCCACACACCCAAGAGGCGTTCCGGCTCGCCCCTCTCCGACCACTTGTATGGTATGCCTGTCGGTGCCGTGGTGCCTCTGTTACACCCCAACGGTACCACCACGGACTTGTCGCAATTCACCTTCAACCCCGACTGTTTGCCGAAAGTGTCTAACACCCCCACCACCTTCCGCAGCTGTTCCTCCCCTTCCAGCAGGAACGATGTGTCATCCGCATAGCCCACATAGGAGATCGGTGTCTCACCAGGCGGGCCCACCCCCAAACCTCTGCGCAGTGTCTCTCTGCAAAGCGGCTCCAGTGCACACAGGAATAAATAAGGCGCCAGAGGGCACCCCTGCCTGACCCCTCTGTCCATCTCCACTCTGTCGCTTAACCACCCGTTGACTATCACCCTTGTACCTGCTCCTGCATGCAGGCCCTTGGTCCAGCCGATGAACCTGTCCGGGAACCCAAGCTCCTTCATAACCCTGAACAAGAAAACCCGTGACACCGTGTCATACGCTTTCTGGAAATCGACGAGCAGCAGCAACCAGTCATTACCGCCCCCGTTCGCCGCCTCCACCACGTCCGCAACCACCGACACTGCGTCAGCCAAGCTTTTTCCAGGTAAGAACCCATGCTGCTCCTTAGACAGCACCTTGCCCAGCACCTTCTTTAACCTTGAAGCCATGATTTTGGTGACGAGCTTGTACATGACCGATATCAGAGTGATAAGCCGGTAATTACCCAGACTGTCCACCGGTCCTTTTTTATGCAGCAGCACCGTCACAGCACCCTAAACCTCCTTGGTCCCTCGGAAGGTCCTTCCCCCATGCGTGATTTCTTGTATCGACGTTCGTTTTTTCCGCATCTTGATCTTCGCCGACAGGTAGGGTGACGGGACCTCCCCGTTCAGCTCCACCCGGATGCCCGCCAGCACTTGCAGTCTGTCTCTACTGCTCCGCAGGTAGGCCTCCAGGTGCGCCTCTTTACAGACCAGCCTGTTCTGCGCCCTTTTGTCACCCGGGTGTCTCATCACCTTGTGCCGAAGGAACTCAACCACCCGCTCAAGGTGAGTAACCGTTGCTCTCACCCTTTTTATTTCCTCTCTCGTATACTCCTTAAGGCCGACACTGAGTAACTTCAGCTTCTTCCCCAGGTCAACCCCTTCCTCTTTTTCCAGCTTCCTCAGGATGCTTGCAGTCACTGTACTAACCCCTCTCCGTTGTGCTTGCCTCGCCTGCATCCTCCACAGACCCGGACCCTGCTCTACCAGTGCGTTAACCGCCAGCCCGACCTTAATCCCAAACCAGTGATCAGTCAAGCTCCTTGGTACTTTTATGTGCTTCGCCTCCGCCAGCAACCCCAGCAACGAGAAGGAGACCAACCCCCTGTCGATGCGCGTGCTCGCCCCAGTCGCCCTGTCACGGAAGGTGTATTCCGGTCTGGTTGGGTGCAGCGCTCGGAAGGCATCCCTGAGATCCGCCGTCCGCCAGAAGCTCAGAAGTCTCTGATTTTCATTGCCCGAGCCCGATCGTGATGTCCGGTCCAGATCCGGATCCTCTACCAAGTTCAGATCCCCCATCACTACTAGGTGAGTCGACGGCGGTTGTGCATCGACGAACTGCGCCAGACAGCTCCGAAAAAATACCCCCCTAGCACACGCTTGCGCAGGAAGGTACATCGCCACCAGCCTGAAAGAGACCTGTGAGTATTCCACTGTGACCCCTACCAGTCTCCCCGATTGATGAGTGATTACGTCCGTGAGCTTGACCTCTTCGTTGAAGGCTAATACCGCAACCCCACCTGCTCTTTCACTATTTCCCACCACCGCCGCTGATGACGGTTTCAGCTGGGTCCAGAAGTTATGATCTTCTCCTATCCTTGTGTCTGTGAGCACCACGACATCTGCCGCTGTTTTAATCCAATGTGCATGCTCCGTTCTTTTGCCGTTACTTCCGAGGCCGTTGACATTGACCTCGCACAGTGTGAGATTTCGGTTGTTATCCATTAATCCACTGGTAAAAGACCCCCTCGCATCCACGGGGTTGAGATAGAGACACCACTCCTACCAACAACTGCTCTTGCGTAACAGGTACCGCACCACACTCCTTCCGTCCCCATCCTTTATTGCTCCACCGTACTTTATTTCCTTGACCGCCTCCGATACTCCTGCATGGAAACGCGCACTTCACTTCTGCAGCCCAAACTCCTTGCGGACCGGGATCAAATTCATCTTCCCCCGGCTTCTCCTGCTTGCCGAACCCCCTTGCAGAAGCGCGGTGCAGTGGTGGACCGATTTCACATGCACCAACGCCTGGGAGAAACTGGAGCCGTGCACCTTCCCACACGCCTCCTGGACACACAGCCAGTCTTCCCGGCTTCCCCCCGTGGAGATCAGCACCAAGGCAGGGTCGCGCAAACAAGGTTAGAGCACCACTTGTTACCATTAATCGCATGCAGTCGCTCCAGCGTCAGATTCCACTTTCCGATATTCTCCTGACGTTCCGTAACATAATCATCATGGAACTTTGTCATGTGCATGCCGTTGCAGAAATCACAGGAAAGCGATGGAAAATGGACAAGAAGCTGCCTGTGGTGCACCGAGTCAGTCAGCAGGTGCCACCAGCGATACTTATCCCCCGGGTGGCCTTTGACCGAGCCCCTGATCTTGTCTGTGTCCGCACCAGTAACCGGATCAACGACCCGGTGGAAAGCCGAACCACTCAAGAAGGGGGTTCTGCCACGCTTCTCCAGCACCGCCGTCACCAGGTACTCATAAACCATCTCCGGCGTTATGGCGGCAGGCACACTCTTTAGGAGCACTTCGACCGAGTCTGGGTGCTTCTCGCGTTCCATGATGTACAGCGGGTTTTCTGGGTGCTGCCAGTCAAGGGTGATGCCAACACCGTTCAACATCTTGTGCTCAACCCTGCGGCACCACGCGTAGTTCGCGTCCGACGCCTGCTGAAAGGTAACTTGCAGCCGTCCGTAACGCTTCTTTGACAACCACGCCGGTAAGAGCACTTGACACTTCGTCGTTGTCAGCACATGCGCCGACATATACTTTCTCCACAGCGCCAGCAGACCCTTAACCGTGTCAATAGTCCGCTCCACCTCCTCTTCGTACTTGATCGGGATCAGCAGCGTGATTGAAAAGCCAGCACGCGCGGCGATCTCCCCCGCCTTCACGGGGTCAAAACGTTCCTCCGGGTCATCACTGAGGTACCCGTCATCCTCATCCTCCTCTTCTTCTTCCCCTTCAGCAGGAACCTCTGGAGCTACGGCCGGGGACGACACCTCATCCGTGTTCTTCTTCTCCTCCCCTGCTTCAGTAGACCCCTCCGCAGTGCGATCCTCCAGGGACGAGAACTTCAAATCATTCAACTTCTTCACCAGCGAGATGCGCGTTTCATCCGCGAAAGGGCCTCCCACTTCCTTCAGCATCGGACGAGGCGTCGCTGGCTCCGAATGGTGACTCTTGGACGCGGACTCGCGAACACCATTGTCCGTGGGCTTGCTCACTGGCTGAGCAGCTTTCTTCGGCTGGCGCGGCATGGTGCAATGATGACAACTGCCAAAGTTGTAACCAGAAAATCGTGATGGGAAAGGTCCCGCTGGACTTGACTGGCTAGTTCTGAGCACCGACTTCTTATAAGCACGTCGTTTAGGCCTCGCCTTTTTCCTTGGATGCTTTTTCTTGGGAGTCCTGCTCTTGGTAGAAAGGCGACCCTTGATAGTTGGATTCCGAGATGAAACCTTAGCTTGAACCTCGGTAATGCACTGCGCTGGACATGTCAACCTCGAGACGCAAGCCTGGCAATCAAACCTAGACACTGTCAACGGCGGGAAATGGTAGCCTGACAATGAACCATAGAATACCATGCTCTCCATTTGAGCACAAAATTAGTATCCTTGTGTTCCTCTTGTCATGTAGAATCCAAATCCGTTATTAAATATAGTATCTGGTAAGAAATTGATAGACATTGGTCCAGTTAAAGCGCCGGTATACATTTGAAAGTAGGGGTTCAAAATCCTTAGGAACTTGAAAAGTTGCCCCAAAACTGTGAGGCACAATGTAAAACCCTGAACCTCATTCACAAATGTATACTGGAGCTTTAAAACCAGGGTACACATTCAACGCGACTTCAGGCTAAATTTTGGGCGGCATGTTTGCGGGAACTGCTGATTGGTTGACGAGTAGCGAATAAATAGTTGAGAATGGGCGAGCATGGGGCTTTTCGTCCGTGAGAGATGAGGCTTGGCAGGGGAGAAATTGATAACACTTGGATCTAGAAATTGGGGATCAATGGGAGGGCAACTGGGTTAGCGGAAAGGGGAAAGGGGGTGAGACGATATTGTGGGGGAAGGGGAAACAATTTCGGTGGGAGCGGAATAGGTATGGGGAGGGGGGAAACGAATTGGCGGAAGCACATTCGATGACTTCGGTATACATTTGCCAAATCTCGAGGGTTCAAATGTTCACCTGCTGAAGCGAACACTCCCCCCAGATATTCCTAAACCACTGAGTAACCCCGAGGTCAAAGGTTAACCTTTGACAGAAATCCAATTGAATGTGCACCCTGGTTTTAAAGTAGCCTGACAATATCCATGGCGGAGAGCAGTTGATCAGCTTCCGCTCAGTCGATTTCCATGGTGTCAGAATACAACATCTCTGGGTAATTTCGCTGCATTTCACTGTTGATCAGCTTCCGAGCCTCACTCCTGCTTGCTCACATGCCCAGGCTGCCAAATCCGAGCCTCATTCCTTCAGGACTTCTGCTTGCTCTAGGTTTCACAGGCCAGGATCCAGGAATCAAATTGGCATGCGAAAGTTGTCAAATTCAGCCGCTCTCCCGCCTTCCAGTTGTTGACAGGGGATGTCACCTGGTTTCTCCTCGGCAGGATCAACCCAAGGCCCTCCTCGCCTCCAACCCTCGCTTTCTTTCCAGTTCAGTTATTTGAGCTACTGATCACACCAGCCTCTAGAACTCTCACGTACCTGCACTAGAGTTACGTTTGCTGACAGGACATTAGTCGTCACCGATAGCTATGATTGCCAATCTAAGCCTGATGTAGTTAGGACGGTGTAAGTCGTGGAGAACTGGGATTCCTAGAGAAGGTATCCTAGCGGTTACGATTTCAAGCAAAGACGGATACCACGATAAGTTGCTGCTCCAGAAGAGACGTACGTCAGGATTTATACCATTGTCTTATCCCTATCCCAACATGTCCCTATCCCAACAACTTCAGATGATAGGCGGAGACGACGTTAAGGCATTGCAACGTCGCTGCTGTTTACGTCATCGCGTAGGACGTACCCGCTATTCCCGCCAGAAAAGAAACGTCGTCGCTGCTTTAGGCGCTGAGCGTTCCTGCTGCATCCGCCAGAATCGCAACGTCGTCGCTGCTTTACACGCTGAGCTTTCCTGCTGCATCCGCCAGAATCGCAACGTCGTCGCTGCGTTAGGCGCTGAGCTTTCCTGCTGCATCCGCCAGAATCGCAACGTCGTCGCTGCTTTAGGCGCTGAGCTTTCCTGCTGCATCCGCCAGAATCGCACGTCGTCGCTGATTTAGGCGCTGAGCTTTCCTGCTGCATCCGCCAGAATCGCACGTCGTCGCTGATTTAGGCGCTGAGCTTTCCTGCTGCATCCGCCAGAGTCGCACGTCGTCGCTGCTTTAGGCGCTGAGCTTTCCTGCTGCATCTGCCAGAATCGCACGTCGTCGCTGCTTTAGGCGCTGAGCTTTCCTGCTGCATCCGCCAGAATCGCAACGTGGTCGCTGCTTTAGCCGTCGACCCCTGCCTGCTGCTCCCGCCGAAAAAGAGACCTCGCTGCTGTTCCTACCATATTAACATTTTGACAGCGTCCGAGAAACATACCTGCTGAATCCGCGTCAGCGCAACGTCGCTGCTGTTTTCGTTGTCAACGCAACGCCGCTGCTGTTTTCGTCGTCAACGCAACGTCGCTGCGACGTCCCTGCTGTTTCCGCTGAAAACCCGACGTTATTGCCATTCAACGGCAGATCGGTGCTGTTGCTGTTTTCGTCGTCAAAACAACCAGTCAGCGAGTGGCAGCGAGTGGACGGGGAATGGACGGGGCTGCCGTTGCTGGCTCGCACGAGAGGCAGCCGGGAGCAGCACACCTCAAGTGAAAGCGTGGCGCAGGAGCGGAAGAGCGGCGGACGGAGTGTGGTACGTGCCAGGGGTTGCTTGCAGGGGGGCAGTGAAGTGAGTCGTAGGGTGTCGCCGCGCAGAGGCAAGTGTCGTGTCTGTTACCCTTGCCTCGCCACTCGCCTCCTGCTGCTGCTTATTCTAACCCTCCCTTTCTTGTACCGCTTTTGTGTTGCTGTCTCTCTCCCCATGCGTGTGCGTGTGTGTGCCTGACGGCCTGCGAGGCGGAGGGGAATGGCATGGAGTGGATTGGGAATGGACGGGCCTTCCTTGTGAGTGGGAGTGTGCCTGTCCGCCTGCAAGCCCTTGAGTGTGTGGCAGATTGCTCGTTGGAAGGCTGCCTGCTTATCGCCTGGAAGAACAAACTCCGCTTTTGTCCATCCAGTACAAGAGGTAACCCAGAGAGAAGATGCGGCAGCAGGGCGAATGCACCATCACTTGCGTTTTTGCTCAGTCCCTTCTCCAGCTTCCTCTGCCTTCTCTTCAGTCCTGTCGGCGCTCTTTCACATCCTCACCCTCTCGCACACTCGCTTCTCCTCTCCTTGCTCACTCCTCTTGCCCGCCTCCTTGCCATCCTTCTCCCCCTCTCTCCAGCACTCAAGGGGGCACTGGCTGGCGTGACTCAGGGATCACCAGTGGCTGCAGCAACGGCAGGATCATGGCAAGCAAGCACACAACAAGTGGTGAGTGAATCAGATCAAGCAGTTTACCGCTTCTCTATTCACCATCTTCCTGCTTCTCTTGTACCGTTCTGTCTAGCCTTTCATTTCCCGCGGAGCCCTTGAGTCTTTGCAGCTGCGTTGCCATGTGTTGATGCCTCTCTTGTCAGCTCCCAACCCCCTCCTCGCCTGTGCTCTCCTCTTCTCTGCAGCGCCGCGATGGTGGTCGCCACGAGAGCAACAACTGCAGCAGCACCACCAACCCATCAACCGGGAGCACGCCCAGCAGCAGGCCGCTGTGTGGGGTGGGGTGGGGTGGGGTGGGCCCAAGTAAAAGCGCGGCGCAGTTGTGGCACAGCGGCGCGCGGAGGTGGTACGTGCCAGGGGGTGCTTGCGGGGGGCCAGTGAAGTGAGTCGTAGGGTGTCGCCGCGCAGAGGCAAGAGTCGTGTCTGCTGCCCCTTGCCTCGCCACTCGCCTCCTGCTGCGGCTTCTTCTAACCCTCCCTTGCTGCACCACTTCTGTGTGGCTGTCTCTCTCCCCATGCGTGTGGTGCCTCACGGCCTGCGAGGCGGACGGGAGTGGCAGCGAGTGGACGGGGAACGGGCGGGCTGCCATGGCTGGCGCGCACGAGAGCCGACCTTCTTAGCGAGGAGAAGTCAAAGCGTGGCGCAGAGCGGCAAACGGAACATGGTACGTGTCAGGGGATGCTTTCAGGGGGGATGTGTAGTAAGTCGCCGCGCAGAGGCAAGAGTCGTGTCTCTTGTTCTTGTCTTTGCTGCTCGCCTCCTCTCCTGCTGCTCGCCTCCTCTCCTGCTGCTCCTAACCCTCCCTTGTTGTGCCGCTACTGTGTGTGTTTCTCTCTCCCCATGCGTGTGTGTGCCTCACGGCCTGCGAGGTGGACGGGAATGGCAGGAAGTGGATGGGGAATGGACGCTGCGGCCGTTGCTGGCGAGCACGAGAGGCAGCAAGGAGCAGCACGCCTCAAGTGAAGGCATGGCGCAGGAGTGGGAGAGTGGCGGTCGGAGTGTGGTACGTGCACGGAGGGGTGCTTGCAGGGGGGCCGTGAAGTGAGTCGCCGCGCAGAGGCAAGAGTCGTGTCTCTTGCGTTTGTCTCCGCCACTCGCCTCCTCTCCTCTTACCCTCCCTTGTTCCATTGCTTCTGTCTGCGTGCGTCTCTCCCTTTGTGTGTGTGTGTCTCATGGCATGTGAGATGGGAAATGGCAGGGAGTGGACGGGAAGTGACAAGTGTGCAGGTCTTGTTCCTGCCCGAGACACAGCAGCAACGCTGGTGAATGCAGCAGCGCTGGTGACTTGAAGCAGCAGTAGCAACAGCGCCTTTACTTTCCAGCCAAGTATTTTCTCCTCCGAACGCTTTGCTTTTTGTGATGCCAAGCGCTCATCACTTGTATTGCATGTGCTGCGCTGCTTCGTCCTCTGAACTCTTGTCAGGTTGCTTCTGGCCCAACTCACAAGCCACAGTCCCTTGTTATTGCAGGTATCAGCAGCAGATAACCGGGAAGCAGGAGCAGCAACGTCTCAAGTCCGGAGAATGCGTGGCGCAGCAGGGTGCTGTGCTGGAAAGTAAAGTCTGGAGAATGCGGGCCGCAGCAGGGTGCTGTGCTGCTTGGGGCGAATGCGTGGCGCAGGAGCGGCAGGCTCTGCCAAGGAGGAGAAGTGGTACGTGCCGGGGGGTGCTTGCAGGGGGGCCGTGAATTGAGTCGTAGGGTGTCGCCGCGCAGAGGCAAGAGTCATGTCTGTTGCCCTTGCTTGCGCCACTCGCCTCCTGCTGCTTCTGACCCTCCCTTGTTGCGCCTCGTCTGTGTGGCTGTCTCTCTCTCCCCATGCGTGTGTGTGCCTCACGGCCTGCGAGACGGACGGGATTGGCAGCGAGTGGACGCCAGTGGCTGCAGCGACTGCAGGATGATGGCGAGCACACAAGAGGTTGTGAGTGAATCAGGTCAAATTCACCACTTCACTTTTCACTTCTCGCCATCTTCCTGCTTTCCGTGTTCCGTTCTCTTCTGTCTACCATTTTCCCACGGTGCTCATGAGTCTTTGCAGCAGCTGTGCTGCCATGGTTTCAACTCTTCTCAACTCCCAGACCCCTCCTTTCCTGTCCCCTCCTCTTCTCTGCAGCAACGCAGTGGTGGTCACGACGAGAGCAATAACTGCAGCAGCAGCAGCAGCAGCAGCAGCAGCAGCAGCAGCAGCAGCAGCAGCAGCAGCAGCGGCAGCGGCAGCGGCAGCGGCAGCGGCAGCGGCAGCGGCAGCGGCAGCGGCAGCGGCAGCGGCAGCGGCAGCGGCAGCGGCAGCGGCAGCGGACGGCGAGCGACTTGGAGCACGGGAAGCAGCAGGGCGCTGCTTGGGGCAAAGGCTTGGCGCAGCAGCAACGGAGCAACATGGAGCAGCACGCAGGCGTGGTGCAGCAGGCAGAGCGGGCGAGTGTCACAGCGGCAGACGGAGGAGTGTGGTACGTGCCATGGGGTGCTTGTATGGGGGGCGTAAACTGTCATAGGGTGTCGCCGCGCAGAGGCAAGAGTCGTGTCTGTTGCTTGCGGCTCCGCCACTCGCCACCTGCTGCTTCTAACCCTCTTTTATTGCGCTGCTTCTGTGTGTCTCTCTCTCCCATGTGTGTGTGTCTCTCTCTCCCCATGTGTGTGTGTGTGCCTCTATCTCCCCATGTGTGTGTCTCTCTCTCCCCGTGTGTGTGTGTCTGTGTCTCTCTCTCTCCCCGTGTGTGTGTGTGTGTGTGTGTGTGTGTGTGTGTCTCGTGGCCTGCAAGAAGTGGACGTGGACACCTCAAGTGAAGGCGTGGCGCAAAACTGGCAGAGCGGCGGACAGAGCATGGTACGTGCCAGGGGGTGCTTGCAGGGGGGCCTTGAAGTGAGTCGTAAGGCGTCGCCGCGCAGAGGCAAGAGTCATGTCTGTTGCCCTTGCTTCCGCCACTCGCCTCTTGCTGCTTCTGACCCTCCCTCGTTGTGCCTCGTCTGTGTGGCTGTCTCTCTCTCCCCATGCGTGTGTGTGCCTCACGTCCTGTGAGACGGACGGGAATGGCAGAGAGTGGACATGGACTGTGCATGTGTGTGTGGGGGGAAGGGGGGAAGGGGGATGGAGGTGTGCATGTGTGCGTGTGCGTGTGTGCATGCCTCTGAGTGTGCCTCTCAGCCTGCAAGCTCCGGAGTGTGGCGGATTGCTCGTGGTGCAGCAGTGGGAGAGCAACGGACGGAGCGTGGTACGTGCCAGGGGGTGCTTGCAGGGGGGCTGTGAAGTGAGTCGCCGCGCAGAGGCAATAGTCGTGTCTCTTGTTCTTGTTTCTGCCGCTCGCCTCATCTCCTGTTGCCCCTAACCCTCCCTTGACGAGCCGCTTCTGTGTGTGTGTGTTCTCTCCCCATAATTGTGAGGAAGGGGGAGGGGAGGGGTGGAAAGGAGGGCGGAGGGTGGGAGGGGGATGGGGGGGGTTGGGGAGAGGAGGGCGCCTGTCCTTGTGTGCGTGTACGTGCATGTGAGTGTGTCTCTCAGGCTCCGAGCCGTGGAGTGGAGTGCGTTGTGCTTTGACAACATTCGTTGCTTGCTTCTCCAAGACAAGAGGTAATCAAGAGTGAGGATGCAGCAGCAGGGCGAATGCATTCTCCGTTGCGTCTTGTCTCAGTCCCCTTTCCAACTGCCATCTGTCATCTATTCTGGCGTGTCAGTGCTCTTTCACATGCTCAGCCTCTGCTAAGGTGCCCATGTGTCTTTGCTACTCTGTTGCCAGATGTTCAGGCCCCTCTGTTCGGATCTCAAATCCCTCCTCTCCTCTTCTCTGCTCTCCTCTCTTCCACCACCCGTACGCCAGCACCTAGTGTCCTGCAACAGCAGCATGGACAGCAGCACTTGCAGTTGCAGCAGCAACAGCAGCAGCAGTGGTGGTGGTGGCAGCAGTGGTTGCAGCTGCAGCAATGGAGGGGTGATTACAGTCTACCCTATGCTTCCAAGTTCCCTCTACATGTTTGTTGTTTAACATCGCTTGCGCTCTTGTGTTGACTCCAGTACCTTACTCGTTTCCTGTCATCCTTCTCCTCAGCCCTCCCATCCATCTTTCTGTATCCTATTATTATGGTGCTCTCGCCTCCCCCCCTCTCCCTTCATTCATGTCCTTGTATCCTGTTGCTGTCCCCGACTTGCAACAACTTGCGGTGCCCTTGGGCCTTTGCAGCTGTGCTGCCATGTGTTGATGCCTCTCATGTCAGCTCCCAACCCCCTCCTCGCCTGTGCTCTCCTCTTCTCTGCAGCGCCGCGCTGGTGGTCGCCACGGCAGCAACGGCAGCAGCAGCACCAACCCATCAACCGGGACCACGCCCAGCACCACGCCGCTGCGTGGGGTGGGGTGGGGTGGGGTGGGGTGGGCTCAAGTAAAAGCGCGGCGCAGCAGCGGCACAGCGGCGCACGCAGGTGGTACGTGCCAGGGGGTGCCCGCGGGGGGGCAGTGAAGTGAGTCGTAGCGTGTCGCCGCGCGGGAGTAGCACGCCTCAAGTGAAGGCATGGCGCAGGAGTGGCAGAGCGGCGGACGGAGCGTGGTACGTGCCAGGGGATGCTTGCAGGATGGCAGTGAAGTGAGTCGTATGAGCTGGCGGTGCAGCGTATGAGCGTGCGGTGCAGCGTATGAACGTGCGGTGCAGCGTATGAGCGGGCGGTGCAGCGTATGAGCGGGCAGAGCAGCGTATGAGCGTGCGGTGCAGCGTATGAGCGGGCGGTGCAGCGTATGAACCGGCGGTGCAGCGTATGAGCGGGCGGTGCAGCGTATGAGCGTGCGGTGCAGCGTATGAGCGGGCGGTGCAGCGTATGAGCGGGCGGTGCAGCGTATGAGCGGGCGGTGCAGCGTATGAGCTTGCGGTGCAGCGTATGAGCGTGCGGTGCAGCGTATGAGGGGGCAGTGCAGCGTATGAGCGGGCGGTGCAGCGTATGAGCGTGCTGTGCCGCGTATGAGCGGGAGGTGCAGCGTATCAGCGGGCGGAACAGCGTATGCTCGTGTGGTGCAGCGTATGAGCGTGCGGTGCAGCGTATGACCAGGCGGTGCAACGTATGAGCGGGCGGTGCAGCGTATGCGCGTGCGGTGCAGCGTACGAGCGGGCGGTGCAGCGTATGAGCAGGCGGTGCAGCGTATGAACGGGCGGTGCAGCGTATGAGCGTGCGGTGCAGCGTATGAGCGTGCGGTGCAGCGTATGAGCGGGCGGTGCAGCGTATGAGCGGGCGGTGCAGCGTATGAGCGTGCGGTGCAGCGTATGAGTGGGCGGTGCAGCGTATGAGCCGGCGGTGCAGCGTATGAGCGTGCGGTGCAGCGTATGAGCGTGCGGTGCAGCGTATGAGTGTGCGCTGCAGCGTATGAGCGTGCGGTGCAGCGTATGAGCGTGCGGTGCAGCGTATGAACGGGCGGTGCAGCGTATGAGCGTGCGGTGCAGCGTGTGAGCGTGCGGTGCAGCGTATGAGCGTGCGGTGGAGCGTATGAGCGGGCGGTGCAGCGTATGAGCGGGCGGTGCAGCGTATGAGCCTTCTGTGCAGCGTATGAGCGGGCGGTGCAGCGTATGAGCGTGCGGTGCAGCGTATGAGAGGGCGGTGCAGCGCATGAGCGGGCGGTGCAGCGTATGAGCGGGCGGTGCAGCGTATGAGCGGGCGGTGCAGCGTATGAGCTTGCGGTGCAGCGTATGAGCGTGCGGTGCAGCGTATGAGGGGGCAGTGCAGCGTATGAGCGGGCGGTGCAGCGTATGAGCGTCCTGTGCCGCGTATGAGCGGGAGGTGCAGCGTATCAGCGGGAGGTGCAGCGTATCAGCGGGCGGAACAGCGTATGCTCGTGTGGTGCAGCGTATGAGCGTGCGGTGCAGCGTATGAGCGGGCGGTGCAACGTATGAGCGGGCGGTGCAGCGTATGAGCGTGCGGTGCAGCGTATGAGCGTGCGGTGCAGCGTATGAGCGGGCGGTGCAGCGTTTGAGCGGGCGGTGCAGCGTATGAGCGTGCGGTGCAGCGTATGAGCGTGCGGTGCAGCGTATGAGCATGCGGTGCAGCGTATGAGCGTGCAGTGCAGCGTATGAGCGGGCGGTGCAGCGTATGAGCATGCGGTGCAGCGTATGAGCGGGCGGTGCAGCGTATGAGCGTGCGGTGCAGCGTATGAGCGTGCGGTGCAGCGTATGAGCAGGCGGTGCAGCGTATGAGCGTGCAACCCTCACGTGCAACCGTCTCGTGCACCCCTCGCGTGCACCCCTCGCGTGCACTTCTCGCGTGCACCCCTCGCGTGCACCCTCGCGTGCACCCCTCGCGTGCACCCCTCGCGTGCAACCCTCGCGTGCACCCCTCGCCTGCACCCCTCGCGTGCACCCCTCGCGTGCACCCCTCGCGTGCACCCCTCGCGTGCAACCCTCGCGTGCACCCCTCGCGTGCACCCCTCGCGTGCACCCCTCGCGTGCACCCCTCGCGTGCACCCCTCGCGTGCACCCCTCGCGTGCACCCCTCGCGTGCACCCCTCGCGTGCACCCCTCGCGTGCACCCCTCTCGTGCAACCCTCGCGTGCACCCCTCTCGTGCAACCCTCGCGTGCACCCCTCGCGTGCACCCCTCGAGTGCAACCCTCGCGTGCACCCCTCGCGTGCACCCCTCGCGTGCACCCCTCGCGTGCACCCCTCGCGTGCACCACTCGGGTGCACCCCTCGCGTGCACCCCTCGCGTGCACCCCTCGCGTGCACCCCTCTCGTGCACCCCTCGCGTGCACCCCTCGCGTGCTCCCCTCGCGTGCACCCTCGCGTGCACCCCTCGCGTGCACCCCTCGCGTGCACCCCTCGCGTGCAGCCCTCGCGTGCACCCCTCGCGTGCACCCCTCGCGTGCACCCCTCGCGTGCACCCCTCTCGTGCACCCCTCTCGTGCACCCCTCGCGTGCACCCCTCGCGTGCACCCCTCGCGTGCACCCCCGCGTGCACCCCTCCTGTGCACCCCTCCTGTGCACCCCTCCTGTGCACCCCTCGCGTGCACCCCTCGCGTGCACCCCTCGCGTGCACCCCTCGCGTGCACCCCTCGCGTGCACCCCTCGCGTGCACCCCTCGCGTGCACCCCTCGCGTGCACCCCTCGCGTGCACTCCTCGCGTGCACCCCTCGCGTGCACCCCTCTCGTGCACCCCTCGCGTGCACCCTCGCGTGCACCCCTCGCGTGCACCCCTCGCGTGCAACCCTCGCGTGCACCGCTCGCGTGCACCCCTCGCGTGCACCCCTCGCGTGCACCCCTTGCGTGCACCCCTCGCGTGCACCCTCGCGTGCACCCTCGCGTGCACCCCTCGCGTGCACCACTCGGGTGCACCCCTCGCGTGCAACCCTCGCGTGCAACCCTCGCGTGCACCCCTCGCGTGCAACCCTCGCGTGCACCCCTCGCGTGCACCCCTCGCGTGCACCCCTCGCGTGCAACCCTCGCGTGCACCCCTCGCGTGCACCCCTCGCGTGCACCCCTCGCGTGCACCCCTCGCGTGCACCACTCGGGTGCACCCCTCGCGTGCACCCCTCGCGTGCACCCCTCTCGTGCACCCCTCGCGTGCACCCCTCGCGTGCTCCCCTCGCGTGCTCCCCTCGCGTGCACCCTTGGTGCACCCTCGCGTGCACCCCTCGCGTGCACCCCTCTCGTGCACCCCTCGCGTGCACCCCTCGCGTGCACCCCTCGCGTGCACCCCTCGCGTGCACCCCTCGCGTGCACCCCTCGCGTGCAACCCTCGCGTGCACCCCTGGCGTGCACCCCTCGCGTGCACCCCTCGCGTGCAACCCTCGCGTGCACCCCTCGCGTGCACCCCTCGCGTGCACCCCTCGCCTGCACCCCTCGCGTGCACCCCTCGCGTGCACCCCTCGCGTGCACCCCTCGCGTGCACCCCTCGCGTGCACCCCTCGCGTGCACCCCTCGCGTGCACCCCTCGCGTGCACCCCTCGCGTGCACCCCTCGCGTGCAACCCTCGCGTGCACCCCTCGCGTGCACCCCTCGCGTGCACCCCTCGCGTGCACCCCTCGCGTGCACCACTCGGGTGCACCCCTCGCGTGCACCCCTCGCGTGCACCCCTCTCGTGCACCCCTCGCGTGCACCCCTCGCGTGCTCCCCTCGCGTGCTCCCCTCGCGTGCACCCTTGGTGCACCCTCGCGTGCACCCCTCGCGTGCACCCCTCTCGTGCACCCCTCACGTGCACCCCTCGCGTGAACCCCTCGCGTGCACCCCTCGCGTGCACCCCTCGCGTGCACCCCTCGCGTGCACCCCTCGCGTGCACCCCTCGCGTGCACCCCTCGCGTGCACCCCTCGCGTGCACCCCTCGCGTGCACCCCTCGCGTGCACCCCTCGCGTGCACCCCTCGCGTGCACCCCTCGCGTGCACCCCTCGCGTGCACCCCTCGCGTGCACCCCTCGCGTGCACCCCTGGCGTGCACCCGTCGCGTGCACCCCTCGCGTGCACCCCTCGCGTGCACCCCTCGCGTGCACCCTCCCGTGCACCCCTCGCGTGCACCCCTCGCGTGCACCCCTCGCGTGCACCCCTCGCGTGCACCCCTCGCGTGCACCCCTCGCGTGCACCCCTCGCGTGCACCCCTCGCGTGCACCCCTCGCGTGCAACCCTCGCGTGCACCCCTCGCGTGCACCCCTCGCGTGCACCCCTCGCGTGCACCCCTCGCGTGCACCCCTCGCGTGCACCCCTCGCGTGCACCCCTCGCGTGCACCCCTCGCGTGCACCCCTCGCGTGCACCCCTCGCGTGCACCCCTCGCGTGCACCCCTCGCGTGCACCCCTCGCGTGCACCCCTCGCGTGCACCCCTCGCGTGCACCCCTCGCGTGCACCCCTCGCGTGCACCCCTCGCGTGCACCCCTCGCGTGCACCCCTCGCGTGCAACCCTCGCGTGCACCCCTCGCGTGCACCCCTCGCGTGCACCCCTCGCGTGCACCCCTCGCGTGCACCCCTCGCGTGCACCCCTCGCGTGCACCCCTCGCGTGCACCCCTCGCGTGCACCCCTCGCGTGCACCCCTCGCGTGCAGCCCTCGCGTGCACCCCTCGCGTGCACCCCTCGCGTGCACCCCTCGCGTGCAACCCTCGCGTGCACCCCTGGCGTGCACCCCTCGCGTGCACCCCTCGCGTGCAACCCTCGCGTGCACCCCTCGCGTGCACCCCTCGCGTGCACCCCTCGCGTGCACCCCTGGCGTGCACCCCTCGCGTGAACCCCTCTCGTGCACCGTCACGTGCAACCCCCCTCACGTGCACCCCTCGCGTGCACCCCTCGCGTGCACCCCTCGCGTGCACCCCTCGCGTGCACCCCTCGCGTGCACCCCTCGCGTGCACCCCTCGCGTGCACCCCTCGCGTGCACCCCTCGCGTGCACCCCTCGCGTGCACCCCTCGCGTGCACCCCTCGCGTGCACCCCTCGCGTGCACCCCTCGCGTGCACCCCTCGCGTGCACCCCTCGCGTGCAACCCTCGCGTGCACCCCTGGCGTGCACCCCTCGCGTGCACCCCTCGCGTGCAACCCTCGCGTGCACCCCTCGCGTGCACCCCTCGCGTGCACCCCTCGCCTGCACCCCTCGCGTGCACCCCTCGCGTGCACCCCTCGCGTGCACCCCTCGCGTGCACCCCTCGCGTGCACCCCTCGCGTGCACCCCTCGCGTGCACCCCTCGCGTGCACCCCTCGCGTGCACCCCTCGCGTGCACCCCTCGCGTGCACCCCTCGCGTGCACCCCTCTCGTGCACCCCTCGAGTGCACCCCTCGCCTGCACCCCTCACGTGCACCCCTCACGTGCACCCCTCGCGTGCACCCCTCGCGTGCACCCCTCGCGTGCACCCCTCGCGTGCAACCCTCGCCTGCACCCCTCGCGTGCACCCCTCGCGTGCAACCCTCGCGTGCACCCCTCGCGTGCACCCCTCGCGTGCACCCCTCGCGTGCACCCCTCGCGTGCACCCCTCGCGTGCACCCCTCGCGTGCACCCCTCGCGTGCACCCCTCGCGTGCACCCCTGGCGTGCACCCCTCGCGTGCACCCCTCGCGTGCAACCCTGGCGTGCACCCCTGGCGTGCACCCCTCGCGTGCACCCCTCGCGTGCAACCCTCGCGTGCACCCCTCGCGTGCACCCCTCGCGTGCACCCCTCGCGTGCACCCCTGGCGTGCACCCCTCGCGTGAACCCCTCTCGTGCACCCTCACGTGCAACCCCCCTCACGTGCACCCCTCGCGTGCACCCCTCGCGTGCACCCCTCGCGTGCACCCCTCGCGTGCACCCCTCGCGTGCACCCCTCGCGTGCAACCCTCGCGTGCAACCCTCGCGTGCACCCCTGGCGTGCACCCCTCGCGTGCACCCCTCGCGTGCAACCCTCGCGTGCACCCCTCGCGTGCACCCCTCGCGTGCACCCCTCGCCTGCACCCCTCGCGTGCACCCCTCGCGTGCACCCCTCGCGTGCACCCCTCGCGTGCACCCCTCGCGTGCACCCCTCGCGTGCACCCCTCGCGTGCACCCCTCGCGTGCACCCCTCGCGTGCACCCCTCGCGTGCACCCCTCGCGTGCACCCCTCTCGTGCACCCCTCGAGTGCACCCCTCGCCTGCACCCCTCACGTGCACCCCTCACGTGCACCCCTCGCGTGCACCCCTCGCGTGCACCCCTCGCGTGCACCCCTCGCGTGCAACCCTCGCCTGCACCCCTCGCGTGCACCCCTCGCGTCCAACCCTCGCGTGCACCCCTCGCGTGCACCCCTCGCGTGCACCCCTCGCGTGCACCCCTCGCGTGCACCCCTCGCGTGCACCCCTCGCGTCCAACCCTCGCGTGCACCCGTCGCTTGCACCCCTCGCGTGCACCCTTCGCGTGCACCCCTCGCGTGCACCCGTCGCGTGCACCCCTCGCGTGCACCCCTCGCGTGCAACCCTCGCGTGCACCCCTCGTGTGCACCCCTCGCGTGCACCCCTCGCGTTCGCGTGCACCCCTCGCGTGCACCCCTCGCGTGCACCCCTCGCGTGCACCCCTTGCGTGCACCCCTCGCGTGCACCCCTCGCGTGCAGCCCTCGCGTGCACCCCTCGCGTGCACCCCTCGAGTGCACCCCTCGCCTGCACCCCTCGCGTGCACCCCTCGCGTGCACCCCTCGCGTGCACCCCTCGCGTGCACCCCTCGCGTGCACCCCTCGCGTGCACCCCTCGCGTGCACCCCTCGCGTGCACCCCTCGCGTGCAACCCTCGCGTGCACCCCTCGCGTGCACCCCTCGCGTGCACCCCTCGCGTGCAACCCTCGCGTGCACCCCTCGCGTGCACCCCTCGCGTGCACCCCTCGCGTGCAGCCCTCGCGTGCACCCCTCGCGTGCACCCCTCGCGTGCACCCCTCGCGTGCACCCCTCGCGTGCACCCCTCGCGTGCACCCCTCGCGTGCACCCCTCGCGTGCACCCCTCGCGTGCACCCCTCGCGTGCACCCCTCGCGTGCACCCTCGCGTGCACCCTCCCGTGCACCCTCCCGTGCACCCCTCGCGTGCACCCCTCGCGTGCACCCCTCGCGTGCACCCCTCGCGTGCACCCTCCCGTGCACCCCTCGCGTGCACCCCTCGCATGCACCCCTCGCGTGCACCCCTCGCGTTCACCCCTCGCGTGCACCCCTCGCGTGCACCCCTCGCGTGCACCCCTCGCGTGCAACCCTCGCCTGCACCCCTCGCGTGCACCCCTCGCGTCCAACCCTCGCGTGCACCCCTCGCGTGCACCCCTCGCGTGCACCCCTCGCGTGCACCCCTCGCGTGCACCCCTCGCGTGCACCCCTCGCGTGCACCCCTCGCGTGCACCTCTCGCGTGCACCCCTCGCGTGCACCCCTCGAGTGCACCCCTCGCCTGCACCCCTCGCCTGCACCCCTCGCGTGCACCCCTCGCGTGCACCCCTCGCGTGCACCCCTCGCGTGCACCCCTCGCGTGCACCCCTCGCGTGCACCCCTCGCGTGCACCCCTCGCGTGCAACCCTCGCGTGCACCCCTCGCGTGCACCCCTCGCGTGCACCCCTCGCGTGCACCCCTCGCGTGCACCCCTCGCGTGCACCCCTCGCGTGCACCCCTCGCGTGCACCCCTCGCGTGCACCCTCGCGTGCACCCTCCCGTGCACCCTCCCGTGCACCCCTCGCGTGCACCCCTCGCGTGCACCGCTCGCGTGCACCCCTCGCGTGCACCCCTCGCGTGCACCCCTCGCGTGCACCCGCCCGTGCACCCCTCGCGTGCACCCCTCGCGTGCACCCCTCGCGTTCGCGTGCACCCCTTGCGTGCACCCCTCGCGTGCACCCCTCGCGTGCACCCCTCGCGTGCACCCCTCGCGTGCACCCCTCGCCTGCACCCCTCGCGTGCACCCCTCGCGTGCACCCCTCGCGTGCACCCCTCGCGTGCACCCGCGTGCACCCCTCGCGTGCACCCCTCGCGTGCACCCCTCGCGTGCACCCCTCGCGTGCACCCCTCGCGTGCACCCCTCGCGTGCACCCCTCGCGTGCACCCCTCTCGTGCACCCCTCGAGTGCACCCCTCGCCTGCACCCCTCACGTGCACCCCTCACGTGCACCCCTCGCGTGCACCCCTCGCGTGCACCCCTCGCGTGCACCCCTCGCGTGCAACCCTCGCCTGCACCCCTCGCGTGCACCCCTCGCGTCCAACCCTCGCGTGCACCCCTCGCGTGCACCCCTCGCGTGCACCCCTCGCGTGCACCCCTCGCGTGCACCCCTCGCGTGCACCCCTCGCGTCCAACCCTCGCGTGCACCCGTCGCTTGCACCCCTCGCGTGCACCCTTCGCGTGCACCCCTCGCGTGCACCCGTCGCGTGCACCCCTCGCGTGCACCCCTCGCGTGCAACCCTCGCGTGCACCCCTCGTGTGCACCCCTCGCGTGCACCCCTCGCGTTCGCGTGCACCCCTCGCGTGCACCCCTCGCGTGCACCCCTCGCGTGCACCCCTCGCGTGCACCCCTCGCGTGCACCCCTCGCGTGTAGCCCTCGCGTGCACCCCTCGCGTGCACCCCTCGAGTGCACCCCTCGCCTGCACCCCTCGCGTGCACCCCTCGCGTGCACCCCTCGCGTGCACCCCTCGCGTGCACCCCTCGCGTGCACCCCTCGCGTGCACCCCTCGCGTGCACCCCTCGCGTGCACCCTTCGCGTGCAACCCTCGCGTGCACCCCTCGCGTGCACCCCTCGCGTGCACCCCTCGCGTGCAACCCTCGCGTGCACCCCTCGCGTGCACCCCTCGCGTGCACCCCTCGCGTGCAGCCCTCGCGTGCACCCCTCGCGTGCACCCCTCGCGTGCACCCCTCGCGTGCACCCCTCGCGTGCACCCCTCGCGTGCACCCCTCGCGTGCACCCCTCGCGTGCACCCCTCGCGTGCACCCCTCGCGTGCACCCTCGCGTGCACCCTCCCGTGCACCCTCCCGTGCACCCCTCGCGTGCACCCCTCGCGTGCACCCCTCACGTGCACCCCTCGCGTGCACCCTCCCGTGCACCCCTCGCGTGCACCCCTCGCGTGCACCCCTCGCATGCACCCCTCGCGTTCACCCCTCGCGTGCACCCCTCGCGTGCACCCCTCGCGTGCACCCCTCGCGTGCAACCCTCGCCTGCACCCCTCGCGTGCACCCCTCGCGTCCAACCCTCGCGTGCACCCCTCGCGTGCACCCCTCGCGTGCACCCCTCGCGTGCACCCCTCGCGTGCACCCCTCGCGTGCACCCCTCGCGTGCACCCCTCGCGTGCACCTCTCGCGTGCACCCCTCGCGTGCACCCCTCGAGTGCACCCCTCGCCTGCACCCCTCGCCTGCACCCCTCGCGTGCACCCCTCGCGTGCACCCCTCGCGTGCACCCCTCGCGTGCACCCCTCGCGTGCACCCCTCGCGTGCACCCCTCGCGTGCACCCCTCGCGTGCAACCCTCGCGTGCACCCCTCGCGTGCACCCCTCGCGTGCACCCCTCGCGTGCACCCCTCGCGTGCACCCCTCGCGTGCACCCCTCGCGTGCACCCCTCGCGTGCACCCCTCGCGTGCACCCCTCGCGTGCACCCTCCCGTGCACCCCTCGCGTGCACCCCTCGCGTGCACCGCTCGCGTGCACCCCTCGCGTGCACCCCTCGCGTGCACCCCTCGCGTGCACCCGCCCGTGCACCCCTCGCGTGCACCCCTCGCGTGCACCCCTCGCGTTCGCGTGCACCCCTCGCGTGCACCCCTCGCGTGCACCCCTCGCGTGCACCCCTCGCGTGCACCCCTCGCGTGCACCCTTCGCGTGCACCCCTCGCGTGTGTGTGCCTCACGGCCTGTGAGACGGACGGGATTGGCAGCGAGTGGCAGGCAGTGGATCACCAGTGGCTGCAGCAAGTGGACGCCAGTGGCTGCAGCGACTGCAGGATGATGGCGAGCACACAAGAGGTTGTGAGTGAATCAGGTCAAATTCACCACATCACCTTTCACGTTTCGCCATCTTGCTGCTTTCCGTGTTCCGTTCTCTTCTGTCTACCATTTTCCCTCGGTGCTCACGAGTCTTTGCAGCTGTGCTGCCATGGTTTCAACTCTTCTCAACTCCCAGACCCCTCCTTTCCTGTCCTCTCCTCTCTGCAGCAACGCAGTGGTGGTCGCGACGAGAGCAGACCACGAGCGACTTGGAGCACGGGCAGCAGCAGGGCGCTGCTTGGGGTAAAGGCTTGGCGCAGCAGCAACGGAGCAACATGGAGCAGCAAGCAGGCGTGGTGCAGCAGGCAGAGCGGGCGAGTGTCACAGCGGCAGACGTAGGAGCGTGGTACGTGCCATGGGGTGCTTGTATGGGGGGCGTGAACTGTCATAGGGTGTCGCCGCGCAGAGGCAAGAGTCGTGTCTGTTGCTTGCGGCTCCGCCACTCGCCACCTGCTGCTTCTAACCCTCCTTTATTGCGCTGCTTCTGCGTGTCTCTCTCTCCCATGTGTGTGTTTCTCTCTCTCGCCATGTGTGTGTGTGTCTCTCTCTCCCCATGTGTGTGTGTGTGTCTCTCTCTCCCATGTGTGTGTGTGTCTCTCTCTCCCCATGTGTGTGTGTGTGTCTCTCTCTCCCATGTGTGTGTGTGTCTCTCTCTCCCCATGTGTGTGTGTGTGTCTCTCTCTCCCATGTGTGTGTGTGTCTCTCTCTCCCCATGTGTGTGTGTGTGTCTCTCTCTCCCCATGTGTGTGTGTGTGTCTCTCTCTCCCATGTGTGTGTGTCTCTCTCTCCCCATGTGTGTGTGTGTGTCTCTCTCTCCCATGTGTGTGTTTGTCTCTCTCTCCCCATGTGTGTGTGCGTGTCTCTCTCTCCCCATGTGTGTGTGTGTGTCTCTCTCTCCCATGTGTGTGTGTCTCTCTCTCTCCCCATGTGTGTGTGTGTCTCTCTCTCTCCCCATGTGTGTGTCTCTCTCTCTCCCCGTGTGTGTGTGTGTGTGTCTCGTGGCCTGCAAGACCTCAAGTGGACGTGGACACCTCAAGTGAAGGCGTGGCGCAAAACTGGGAGAGCGGCGGACGGATCATGGTACGTTCCGGGGGGTGCTTGCAGGGGGGCCGTGAAGTGAGTCGTAGGGCGTCGCCGCGCAGAGGCAAGAGTCATGTCTGTTGCCCTTGCTTCCGCCACTCTCCTCTTGCTGCTTCTGACCCTCCCTCGTTGTGCCTCGTCTGTGTGGCAGTCTCTCTCTCCCCATGCGTGTGTGTGCCTCACGGCCTGTGAGACGGACGGGAATGGCAGAGAGTGGACATGGACTGTGCATGTGTGTGTGGGGGGAAGGGGGGAAGGGGGATGGGGGTGTGCATGTGTGCGTGTGCGTGTGTGCATGCCTCTGAGTTTGCCAATCAGCCTGCAAGCACCGGAGTGTGGCGGATTGCTCGTGGTGCAGCAGTGGTAGAGCAACGGACGGAGCGTGGTACGTGCCAGGGGGTGCTTGCGGGGGGGCCGTGAAGTGAGTCGCCGCGCAGAGGCAATAGTCGTGTCTCTTTTTCTTGTTTCTGCCGCACGCCTCCTCTCCTGTTGTTCCTAACCCTCCCTTGATGTGCCGTTTCTGTGTGTGTGTGTTCTCTCCCCATGCGTGTGCGTGTGTGTGCCTGACGGCCTGCGAGGCGGAGGGGAATGGCATGGAGTGGAGGGGGAATGGACGGGCGTTCCTTGTGACTAGGAGTGTGCCTGTCCGCCTGCAAGCCCTTGAGTGTGTGGCAAATTGCTCGTTGGAAGGCTGCCTGCTCATCGCCTGGAAGAACAAGCTCCGCTTTTGTCCGTCCAGTACAAGAGGTAACCGAGAGCCAAGATGTGGCAGCAGGGCGAATGCACCATCAGTTGCGTTTTTGCTCAGTCCCTTCTCCAGCTTCCTCTGCCATCTCTTCAGTCCTGTCGGTGCTCTTTCACATCCTCACCCTCTCGCACACTCGTTTCTCCTCTCCTTGCTCACGCCTCTTGTCCGCCTCCTTGCCATCCTTCTCCCCCTCTCTCCAGCACTCAAGGGCGCACTGGCTGGCGTGACTCGGGGATCACCAGTGGCTGCAGCAACCGCAGGATCATGGCAAGCAAGCACACAGCAAGTGGTGAGTGAATCAGATCAAGCAGTATACCGCTTCTCTCTTCACCATCTTCCTGCTTCCCTTGTTCCGTTCTGTCTTGCCTACCATTTTCCGCGGAGCCTTTGAGTCTTTGCAGCTGTGCTGCCATGTGTTCATACCTCTCATGTTAGCTCCCAACCCCCTCCTCGCCTGTGCTCTCCTCTTCTCTGCAGCGCCGCGCTGGTGGTCGCCACGAGAGCAACAACTGCAGCAGCAGCACCAACCCATCAACCGGGAGCACGCCCAACAGCTCGCCGCTGCGTGGGGTGGGGTGGGGTGGGGTGGGGTGGGGTGGGGTGGGGTGGGGTGGGGTGGGGTGGGCCCAAGTAAAAGCGCCGCGCAGCAGCGGCACAGCGGCACACGTAGGTGGTACGTGCTAGGGGGTGCTTGCGGGGGGGCAGTGAAGAGTCGTAGGGCGTCGCCGTGCAGAGGCAACAGTCGTGTCTGTCGCCCTTGCCTCGCCACTCGCCTCCTGCTGCTGCTTCTTCTAACCCTCCCTTGCTGCACCACTTCTGTGTGGCTGTCTCTCTCCCCATTGCGTGTGCGTGTGTATGCCTCACGACCTGCGAGGCGGACGGGAGTGGCAGCGAGTGGACGGGGAATGGACGGGGCTGCCGTTGCTGGCTCGCACGAGAGGCAGCCTGGAGCAGCACACCTCAAGTGAAGGCGTGGCGCAGGAGTTGCAGAGCGGCGGACGGAGCATGGTACGTGCCAGTCCCCAAGCCGGGACTGCAGCTCCAGTCCCCAAGCCGGGACTGCAGCTCCAGTCCCCAAGCCGGGACTGCAGCTCCAGTCCCCAAGCCGGGACTGCAGCTCCAGTCCCCAAGCCGGTACTGCAGCTCCAGTCTCCGAAGCCGGGACTGCAGCTCCAGTCCCGAAGCCGGGACTGCAGCTCCAGTCCCCAAGCCGGGACTGCAGCTCCAGTCCCCAAGCCGGGACTGCAGCTCCAGTCTCCGAAGCCGGGACTGCAGCTCCAGTCCCCAAGCCGGGACTGCAGCTCCAGTCCCCAAGCCGGGACTGCAGCTCCAGTCCCCAAGCCGGGACTGCAGCTCCAGTCCCCAAGCCGGGACTGCAGCTCCAGTCCCCAAGCCGGGACTGCAGCTCCTGTCCCCAAGCCGGGACTGCAGCTCCAGTCCCCAAGCCGGGACTGCAGCTCCAGTCCCCAAGCCGGGACTGCAGCTCCAGTCCCCAAGCCGGGACTGCAGCTCCAGTCCCCAAGCCGGGACTGCAGCTCCAGTCCCCAAGCCGGGACTGCAGCTCCAGTCTCCGAAGCCGGGACTGCAGCTCCAGTCCCCAAGCCGGGACTGCAGCTCCAGTCCCCAAGCCGGGACTGCAGCTCCAGTCCCCAAGCTGGGACTGCAGCTCCAGTCCCCAAGCCGGGACTGCAGCTCCAGTCCCCAAGCCGGGACTGCAGCTCCAGTCTCCGAAGCCGGGACTGCAGCTCCAGTCCCGAAGCCGGGACTGCAGCTCCAGTCCCCAAGCCGCGACTGCAGCTCCAGTCCCCAAGCCGGGACTGCAGCTCCAGTCCCCAAGCCGGGACTGCAGCTCCAGTCCCGAAGCCGGGACTGCAGCTCCAGTCCCGAAGCCGGGACTGCAGCTCCAGTCCCCAAGCCGGGACTGCAGCTCCAGTCCCCAAGCCGGGACTGCAGCTCCAGTCCCCAAGCCGGGACTGCAGCTCCAGTCCCCAAGCCGGGACTGCAGCTCCAGTCCCCAAGCCGGGACTGCAGCTCCAGTCCCCAAGCCGGGACTGCAGCTCCAGTCCCCAAGCCGGGACTGCAGCTCCAGTCCCCAAGCCGGGACTGCAGCTCCAGTCCCCAAGCCGGGACTGCAGCTCCAGTCCCCAAGCCGGGACTGCAGCTCCAGTCCCCAAGCCGGGACTGCAGCTCCAGTCCCGAAGCCGGGACTGCAGCTCCAGTCCCCAAGCCGGGACTGCAGCTCCAGTCCCCAAGCCGGGACTGCAGCTCCAGTCCCCAAGCCGGGACTGCAGCTCCAGTCCCCAAGCCGGGACTGCAGCTCCAGTCCCCGAAGCCGGGACTGCAGCTCCAGTCCCGAAGCCGGGACTGCAGCTCCAGTCTCCGAAGCCGGGACTGCAGCTCCAGTCCCGAAGCCGGGACTGCAGCTCCAGTCTCCGAAGCTGGGACTGCAGCTCCAGTCCCCAAGCCGGGACTGCAGCTCCAGTCCCGAAGCTGGGACTGCAGCTCCAGTCCCCAAGCTGGGACTGCAGCTCCAGTCCCCAAGCCGGGACTGCAGCTCCAGTCCCCGAAGCCGGGACTGCAGCTCAAGTCCCCAAGCCGGGACTGCAGCTCCAGTCCCGAAGCGGGGACTGCAGCTCCAGTCCCCAAGCAGGGACTGCAGCTCCAGTCCCCGAAGCCGGGACTGCAGCTCCAGTCCCCAAGCCGGGACTGCAGCTCCAGTCTCCGAAGCCGGGACTGCAGCTCAAGTCCCCAAGCCGGGACTGCAGCTCCAGTCCCGAAGCTGGGACTGCAGCTCCAGTCCCCAAGCTGGGACTGCAGCTCCAGTCCCCAAGCCGGGACTGCAGCTCCAGTCTCGAAGCTGGGACTGCAGCTCCAGTCCCGAAGCCGGGACTGCAGCTCCAGTCCCCAAGCCGGACTGCAGCTCCAGTCCCCAAGCCGGGACTGCAGCTCCAGTCCCCAAGCCGGGACTGCAGCTCCAGTCCCCAAGCCGGGACTGCAGCTCCAGTCCCCAAGCCGGGACTGCAGCTCCAGTCTCCGAAGCCGGGACTGCAGCTCCAGTCCCGAAGCCGGGACTGCAGCTCCAGTCCCCAAGCCGCGACTGCAGCTCCAGTCCCCAAGCCGGGACTGCAGCTCCAGTCCCCAAGCCGGGACTGCAGCTCCAGTCCCGAAGCCGGGACTGCAGCTCCAGTCCCGAAGCCGGGACTGCAGCTCCAGTCCCCAAGCCGGGACTGCAGCTCCAGTCCCCAAGCCGGGACTGCAGCTCCAGTCCCCAAGCCGGGACTGCAGCTCCAGTCCCCAAGCCGGGACTGCAGCTCCAGTCCCCAAGCCGGGACTGCAGCTCCAGTCCCCAAGCCGGGACTGCAGCTCCAGTCCCCAAGCCGGGACTGCAGCTCCAGTCCCCAAGCCGGGACTGCAGCTCC